GTAAAAGTATATATCATATATATTAAAAACTTTCCCATTTGAGGCAAATACAAAAACAACAACAACAAACCCGAAGCTTTTTTTCTCTCCTTCTGTTTTTCTGTTGTTGTGAAATTTTTTGGCTGGTCGTAAATTTTATTTTAATATCTTGTACAATTTGTTATTGTTGCTGTTGTTGCTATTAACGCTCAGCGTATTTTTCATTTCTACCTCTTTTTGTTTCTTCTTGATTGCTTTAGCATTTTCTTGCGGGCTTTTCCGTCTCTTGTTTTTGATTTGTAATTTAAATTAATCTCTTACAAAGCATTTCCCACCGTTTTAGTTTTTGTGCGTTTCCCTGCCCCTAACGGTAATTCAGCCTCACTGATAACATTTAATTTTTTGGGACAGTTTTGTTCCAGCTCGAGGTATGCTTAGCGTTCCTTTGATTTCCTTTTATGATGCCACGGCTATTGAGTTATGGCTTAATGAACTCGTTACGAGCCTCCCCAACAAAACAGAGGAAAACAAAAGGCTTTTTTTTTGTGGATAACAGTAAAAGTTGAGACGATCGTAAGTTGTTCTTTGTTCTCAAGTTCAAGGCGTCGGCCCTGCGCCCCGCCCACCCTGCCTGTCGCGCAGCACGTTTAACTGTAACTCGATCTGTTGCCACGTGCAGCAGCTCGGTTTGGTAATTGGAGACAAGAACGGCACAACAGGTTGCGCTGCTTGCCTTTCAGTCAGGTGACGCTGCCACGTGCAGCAGCAACAGCACCAACAGCACCAACAGCAACGACAGCAGCAGCAGCAAGTTTGTTGCCTAAGTCTTTTGTTTTTTCCTTCTCTTTCGCTTGTGACACATTTGGTTGTCCAGCTCTCAGCCGTTGCTGTTGCAGCTATTTCTGTTATTTCTGCTTGTTGACCCAAACAAACATCCGTTTCCTGCGGTCAACATTGCCGGGCACGCCCACTAGCCAAACAGACTGCGCTTACGTAGTATGCACAGTATACACTGGCTATGACAAACAAGTGAATTGGTGCAGGCAGGAGAAGCCAGTCAAGAGACTCATAATATCAATGACAAAATGATGAAAGTAATGCAAGGAGAGCTAACGATCATTTCAATTGAAACTATATATGCAATGGACTAGAAATAGAGCGAGCGAGGCAGAAAGAGAGAGAGAGAGAGAGAGGGAAAGAAAGAGAGAGATGAAGAAAGAGCAATTGCTTCAATTGAGACTATATATGATATAGACTATAGACTATATAGAGAGATACTATATATGGAAAAAATACTTTCAAATGATTCAATTGATATTATATATGAATTGATATTGTATATAAAAGATTGTCTCATCTGAACTATCTTTAGAAGCTCCACAGTTTCAGTTTTTTAGATAATGTATCTATATATTCTAATTTTACAATTTTTTTTTGTGATTGGATTTCGATTAAATTGTGTAGTAAATTAAATAAAAAGTTTACTCAAGAAATATTATAAAACAAATAAAGAAAAGTTCAAATTGGAATAATATGTCCCTCACTTGCTGGCATGTTTTGAGTGAGTATAAACTGTACAGAAAACAGTTAATAACTAAATATATATCTAAAAACATTTTTCTTAAGAGATCCATTGACTTTTACAGGATGTTTACATTATACAATATATTTACTGTACGCATATACCAAATGGAATGCTCCTTCTCTCTCCCTCATAGTGATACTCTTTAAAGTTTGTTGAGGCTAGCGTGTGCCCACTGTGCTTGCAATATGCATATGAGTCTCGGGGCAGTTTTGGCCGTTTCTCCGTTTCATTTGTCGCGCGTATCCCACGAAACAATTAACGAGCACAAAAGCTGACCGATATAAAGCGAGCGGCAACAATAGCAGCAACAACAAGTTGACCAGTCGCCGGCACTTGACTGGACTCTTGGTGTTGTTGTTGTTATTATTGTTGCTGCTGCTCGGTTTATGAACGTGGGAAAAAAGGTGCACAAGCTTTTGTTTCGACCAGAACCGGAAATCCAAAAAAACTCGGCGACAAAAGTGTATGCAAAAAAATTGACTTTTTTAAGTCCCCCTTCCCAAAAATGAACAGAAAGATGAAGCCGAAAGCAGCAGAAGCAGCCAAAGCAGCAGCAGCAGCAGCAGCCGTAAGAGAAAATTTGTTTGGTATTTTTGTTGCTGTTGTTGTTGTTAGTTTTTGCTTATTTTGTTTTTGTTATTTTGCGTCTAGGCAGCTGCTTCTTGGTCTCGCCGCTTCTCGGCTTTCGTCTTTTCGTCTTTTCGTCTTTCGCTTGACACACTCACCTATATTCTGCGCCTGCGCCTGCGCCTGCGTCTGCGTCTGTGCTGTCGTTAGCAGCAGCAGCAGCAGCAGCAGCGGCAGCGACCGCGACTGCGTGCGTTGCATTTTGTCGCTCACTTCACTTGATCTTCAGCTGTTGCTGCGACCTCCTCTTCTTCTTCTTCTGACGTTTGTTTTAGTTTCGTTGTTTTTTTTTTGTTTATTTATTTTTTTTTGGGAAACTTTTCTCCTTCTTAGAATTTGCAATTTGTTTTCACATGAATTTGTTGTTATTGTTGTTGTATTTTTTTTTTGCAGAATTTAATTTGCTTTGCTTTTCGCTGACTTTGTTTACACGAAACTCGTTGTTAAATGTGCAAATGTTATAAATGTTTCAACATGCCTGGGTAGAGAGAATTGGTAAATGGAAGAAACACAGGAATAAGTCGAAATCGAGTACAATTTGGGGAAAACAGGTGTGCGCGCGCACCTGGAAAGTGTGTCAGTTCGCGCTCAACTCGTTTATCCTTGGCACTCAACAAAAACAAAAACAAAAAATTAAAAATATAAAAAAAAACAT